TGAAGCACTGTTACCTTCCCGCCGGAGTGGTACCTATTGATCTACTCACATTTGCATGTTTTTGAACTGCTAGGTTGGCAGAAACTGGGCCTAACAGCAGGAGCTCATCCTGCTCCCCGGATTCGAACTGCTGACCTTTCTGTCAGCAAGTTCAGCAGCTCGGTGGTTTAACCCTTTGCACTACCGGGGGCTCTACAAACTACAAATCTCAGGATTCCATAGGATGGAAGTATGAGAGTTAAAGTGATATCAAATTGCTATAATTCTGTAGTATGGACAGTCTGGAAGATCACTGCTCACTTGGAGAGAACACACTAACTTTCCTACTATTTTTCCTTTCTCCATACTGCACTAAGGATAGTTCTTGGTAGGGTTTTCATTTTGCATTCAGCCTTATTTCAATACGGTGCAACTGATTTCTTTCCTTTGTAATGCTCTAGTGTTTCCCCGCCATTTTTTAAATTTTGAATTCACCTCCTTTAACTTTAACATTTCCACTGTAGAATTAATGTAGTTTGACACCTCTTTAGCTGTTGTGACTCAGTGTTATCGGATCCCGGTAGTTGTAGTGTTTCAAGGTCTTTAGCCTTTTCTACCAATGAGTGCTGGTGCTTCACCAAACTACAAATCCCCTTATTGCATAGCATTGAGCCCTGGCAGTTATAGTGTGTCAATCTGCATTCATTTTTCAGTGCAGATTCACCCCAAGAAAGACACTTAGTGGTCCACAAAAAACATTCCTTGCCCATCGAATCTAAAAGACACAAGGTGCCAAAAATGGGGTTGATTGGTGGCGGCAGATTGAAGTGCACAGAGATTGAAGTGTACAGGATTAAATGCATTCTTGTATCATAATTGCCGATGTCTTCAAACTGGATAGATGCCATAGGCTTGGCATAGATAGATGGATAGATGCCATACACCTGAATAAAAGGCTTGCTTTGTCATTTGAAATGGAGAAACCAAATGGCTTCTGTTTTATTGTCTTTGTTCCCACTCAGGTTACGGCCGTGGGAGGGTCACTTTTTGTTTACATAGACTTCCTATGAGATCTAAAGCAAAATGCAGGTGCCCCTGGGATCATAACACTGTCATTTTATTTCCTTCGTATTCTCTGCTAGAGCCAGTGTTGTGCTAAAGCTCTGGAGAGCAGGGTTTTAAATTCCTTCTCGGCCATGGAAACTCATGGCTGAGTCATACTCTCTTAGCCTTCAATGAAGGCAGTAGAAAGCCTCCTTTTCATAAATCTTTCCAAGAAAACCCCAGGATAGTCGGAATTGACTTGAAGGCACAGATCAACAACAAATGCTATTTTGCCATGGATTAATATGGCTTTTCTGAATGCAATTTGTGTTCAGGTTTACGCTGAATCCATTCCTCTTAGGGGGTCCTTTCCTTCTTTATTACTTTCTTTCTCCTCCTCCTCTGTTTCTTCCTGTTTTCTCCTTTGCTTTCGGATTATCATTTTTCCTTTCCAGGTTGAGAGCAGTACCTATGAAAAAGATCTTGGAGTCCTCGTGGACAACAAGTTAAGCATGAGCCAACAATGTGATGTGGCGGCAAAAAAAGCCAATGGGATTTTGGCCTGCATCAGTAGGAGTATAGTGTCTAGGTCCAGGGAAGTAATGCTACCCCTCTATTCTGCTTTGGTTAGACCACACCTGGAATATTGTGTCCAATTCTGGGCACCACAATTGAAGAGAGATATTGACAAGCTGGAATGTGTCCAGAGGAGGGTGACTAAAATGATCAAGGGTCTGGAGAACAAGCCCTATGAGGAGCGGCTTAAAGAGCTGGCATGTTTAGCCTGAAGAAGAGAAGGCTGAGAGAAGACATGATAGCCATGTATAAATATGTGAGAGGAAGTCATAGGGAGGAGGGAGCAAGGTTGTTTTCTGCTGTCCTGAAGACTAGGATGCAGAACAATGGCTTCGAACTGCAAGAAAGGAGATTCCATCTGAACATGAGGAAGAACTTCCTGACTGTGAGAGCTGTTCAGCAGTGGAACTCTCTGCCTCGGAGTGTGGTGGAGGCTCCTTCTTTGGAAGCTTTTAAACAGAGGCTGGATAGCCATCTGTCGGGGGAGCTTTGAATGCAGTTTTCCTGCTTCTTGGCAGGGGGTTGGACTGGATGACCCATGAGGTCTCTTCCAACTCTATGACTCTATGATTCAAGACAGATTGGTGCCCCAAAAAGTCTTTATGGGAGGGAACAATTGCAACTATTTTCTTTTTAGTAGCTGACCACCAAGTTGGAATTGCTGCACAGCACTTTGGAGACAATGAAGAAGAAACAGGTGGCTGAAGGCAGAAGTAAACTTGAGGAGATGTCATTGTCTCTGGCAATTTGATGTGGAGAAGCAACTGCTTGATAGATGTGCTTCTAGGATGAAGTACTGGCATGAAATGTTTTGCTGTATAGTGCTAAGTGTATTGAGGCTCCATAGAAAGAAGGAAGCCCGAGAGGAACTAAACCTTTGCTCCTGTATTTTATTCCCTTTGGGAATTGTTGTATGGATAGTGGATGCATCTACAATGTTAAATGCAGTTTGCCCCACTTCAAATTACTTGACTCAGTGCTGTGGCATCCTAGGAGATGGAGTTTAGTGAGACACCACCACTATAAGGCTGAGAAAGCTAAAAGATCTTGCAAAATCACCATGATTCCCCAGCATTGATCCATTACAGTTAAAGTGATGACAAACTTTACTTCCCGTGGCTCAATACTATGGAATCCTTGGATTTGTCATTTTGCAAGGTCTTGAGCCTTCTCTGCCAAAGAGTGCTGGTACCTCACCAAACTACAACTCCCAGGATTCCATAGCATTGAGCCATGGCAATTAAAGTGGGGTCAAACTACATTAAATCTACAATGTAGACACATCCAACCTAGCAGTTCTAGATTAGGTTAATTTAGACTAGGGCCCCTTCCACGCAGCTGAAAAAAACCCCACATTATCTGCTTTGAACTGGAATATATGGCAATGTGGACTCGGATAACCCAGATCAAAGCAGATAATGAGAGAGCCTTCTCCGTTCTAGCCCCTCGGCTTTGGAACTCACTACCTGGGGAGATTAGGCAAGCCCCCATCCTAGCAGCCTTTAAGAATGATCTAAAAACTTGGCTTTTACAATGTGCCTTTGGAGAGTAACCGTATACCCCCTTTTTGTCTGTTCCATCTATAGTGTCATCCTCATAATGCATTTCCTCCCCATCATTAATGAAGGCCTAACCCCACTGTTCGTCCCTTATGAGCTCCTCCCTCACAAATACACTTTTCCATTACTATCTCATCCAAGGTTTTAGTATTTTTATCTTGAGCATTTGGCCGCTCCACTGTGTTCTATCTTTCATTATATTATTTTGCAACTTTTTATTTTATTTTGTTACTTTATGTATCTTATTGTGAGGTAATTTTTCGTTGCTTTGCATTTTATTTTGTTGTATTGTATTTTCGGGCTTGGCCTCATGTTAGCCGCCCCGAGTCCCCTTTGGGGAGATGGTGGCGGGGTATAAATAAAGATTATTATTATTGTTATTATTATTATTATTATTATTATTATTATTATTATTATTATTATTTCTGTCTTGATATTCTGGGTTATATGACTATGTGGAAGGGCCCTAGGTTACAACCTAACAGTTCTAGGTTAGGTTATCCTAGACTAGGTTAGGTAACTGCTAGGTTAGCAACCTTCTGCCAACCTAGCAGTTCGAAAACATACAAATATGAGGAGATCAATAGGTACCACTTTGGTGGGAAAGTAACAGCACTTCATACAGTCATGCTGGCCACATAACCTAGGAGGCATCTATGGACAACGCTGGCTCTTTGGCTAGGAAGTGGAGATGAGCACCACGCCCAGAGCCAGAGATGAAGGGGAAGCATTTACCTTTATCTGTGTGTCTGTGTTTCATTGTTTCGAGGCATTGAATGTTTGCTTTGTGTCTGTATATGCTGGAATTGGCCCTGAGTCTCCTCGGGGAGATAGAGCAGAATACAAATAAAGTGTTGTTGTTGTTTTGCATCTATAAGAGCCAGTGTGGTGCAGCGATTTGAGCATTAGCTATGATTCTGGAGACTAAGATTCGAATTGCTGCTCAGACATGAAAACCCACTGACTGACCATGGGGAAGTCACACTCACTCAGTTCAGAGGAAGGCATAGGCAAACTCCGCTTTGAGCAAACTTTGTACAAAAGCAATCCATGATAGGTTCGTTTTAGGAGTTACCATAAGTTGGAAATGCTTTAAACAGTAGGTAGAAAGAGATGATTTCACGTCGAAGCATCTTATGTGTACATATGTGTGTGTGTGTGTATGTGTATGCATGTATATAGAAATATATGAAGGAGGAAGGATTTTATTAAAATATGAATTGTCTTTTTAGAATAATGCTTGCTTCAGCAGACATGAATTAAGGAGTGCTTTGATTGTGTGTTCCTGAATGGCAGGGGGTTGAACTGGGTGGCCCTTAAGGTCTCTTCCAACTCTATGATTCTATGAGACCAGGGTTTGAATCCTCACTTGGCCATGGGAACATACTGGCCATACAGCAGTGGAACTCTCTGCCCCGGAGTGTGGTGGAGGCTCCTTCTTTGGAAGCTTTTAAGCAGAGGCTGGATGGCCATTTGTCAGGGGTGATTTGAATGCAATATTCCTGCTTCTTGGCAGGGGGTTGGACTGGATGGCCCATGAGGTCTCTTCCAACTCTTTGATTCTATGATTCTATGATTCTATGGGGCAAGTCACACTCTCTCAGCCACAGTGGAAGGCACAGGTAAACTCTCTCTGAACAGGTTTTGTCCAGAAAACACCACAATATCATCACCATTTGTCCAGAAAAATCCCATGATGGCATTACTATAAATCAGAAATAATTTGAAAGCACAACAACAACAGATCCCAAATCAGGAAGGCAACATTTGGGATAAGTCGGCCACAGCTGCATTGCCTAACCGCCTTTTCCCTCTTCTTCTTTTTCTCTCTCCTCTTCCCAGTCTGCACACGCTGTCTCGGTGCTCAGAGAATGTGCAAAGCTGCGTCCTGCGGATCCCACCGTCCCCCTCCTGGCTGCCAAGGTCTGCATTGGCCGTCTGCACTGGGTAAGCGAGCTGGCGCAGTACTTCTTACATAAGGCATTAGGTGCCGCATTGACAGCAGCCGCACTTGAGTGCAGCTTCAAGAGAGCAGAGACGAGAGCAGAGTGGGGGAAGAAATCCTGAACAGCTGCACCGAGATGCTGCAACCAGTTCTCCCACTCCAAAAATGCTATTCTTGGTGGGGAAGGAGCCTTACTTCAGACCTGTCATAAAGCTGCCTGTTCAAACTGATTTCCCTGAAAAGAATCAAAATAATTGGGTCTTTTGCCTCCTAATGATTGTGTAGCATGGTGCGAACTGTGCCCTGTGTGTGTTGATTGGGAAGGGAGCCCTACGGAGCACAGTGTGGCTTAGTCCCCTATTACGTTGTGCATGGGGTTGCTTTGGAGTTTGTCTACCCCATGTTAAGCTTGATAGGCTTTTGTTTCTGGCTCTGATTGGTAACTGAGTTTTTTTCCTTTTTGTTCTTAGCACCAGAATAGGAGCCTGCTTTTTTTTTTTTTGTGGATTTTGCTTTTGTTTTATGTTTTTACATTTTGGTCTTGTTAATAAGTACCTTCTGGTCACATCACGAGGACGGGTGGGAGAGACTTTGGCTTTTGCAAAATGATGATAATCTTCACCAGCAGAAGCAGCTGCTGGTTTTTAGCAGGTCCCCATTTAGCAAATTCTTTGAGCGAGATCTTGCGCCTCTTTTCAAAGCCTTCTCCACCAGGTGGCCCTGCAGACAACGCCTGCTGCCGGCAATATTATTATTCCGAGCCAACGCAGGAGAGAAGCAAACTGCAGAGAAGGAAAATAGAGGTTTGGCCAAGTGCTTGGGGTTGATGAATTGCCTCGCTTTTAATTGATTTGACTGAATAATTAACAGGTTGAAATAAGTATTGAGGAATCACAATAACAGGTGACAAAACCATCAGGATACTTAATGCACAGCTCACCTCCTGTTGATAGCTGGACCAGCAAATAATTATTTCCTAGGATTTTTTTTTTAAAAAAATGTTAGTATTTTAGAGTTGCATGGCCCTAAAGTGCAAAATGCAAAATATAGTCTCTCTCTCTCTATGTATTATATACACAGACACACACAGACACACACATATACACGCATATACACGCAGAGAGGGGGGGCACTACATTTTTGTTGCACAGCCAGCAGATTCTAGTCAGCGCCCCAAGTCCAAATGCACAAGACTCAAAGACAAGAAGAAAAATGAACAGATTTTTTTTTTACTCTTAATAGCAGAGATGGAACATAAACTTGCAATGTTGCATATAAAAAAACAAACAGTGCAAGAAACTTACATAGTCTTTGAAAGTAACACAAAATAAGGTATCTTCATCTTAAGTCAAATGAGAGAGCAAAAACATAAACCTTGAGTAAACAGCTCTTCAACCATAGCCTCCTTTAGAGCAGCCTAACAGCTTCTCTCCAACCTGCTCCCAGAGCACAGTCTTTGAGCATGGATCTCAGAGAAACAGCTCCCCACCCCCCCCCCCTGTATTCTAAAAACCCATAGTTATACCCCATCGGGTGTGGTCCAAGCTTGCTGGTTGACCTATGTTACCAGCTGCACATAATAATTACCATCATAAGGTTTTTCTTCAACACACACAATTGGTCCTGTTACAATTTACTGTAACAGTTTTGCATTAAGCAATGCACTTAAGAGCAATGCAACATTTTAAAACATAGATATAGTTATAGGTATAGATATAGTCAAACCACCTCTAGATGATTTTAGAAGGTAAATAAAGAACAGCACTCAAAAACAGTGGAACGCCTGAGAGCAAACAATAAAATTGCCAGTTAACACCTCACAAACAGAGGATGCCTCAGGCAACAACAGCCAGGCTACCTCCATGCAAATACCCTTACTGATTGACTTTGCTGCTTCATGGCTACTCAATGCTATTCAAACTTGCTAATTGCAACATTCACATTTGCTTTTCACAGACAAGGTTTCTTTCTCCCACCCTGGGAGAAATATATATATACACTCCACTTGTTTCACTTCCAACAGACCTCTAAGGATTCCAGACACAGATGCAGGTGAAACGTCAGGAGAGAATGCTACTGGAACATGGCCATATGTCCCCAAAAACTTGCATTAACCCAGAGGCCAGATTGCTTTGATTATATCTTCCTGCAAGACAGAAGATTGGACTAGAAGGCCCTTGTGGTCTCTTCCAACTCTCTTTTTCCTTCCTTTCTTTCTCCATCTCTCGCTTTCTGTATGTAATTCAGTTTGGCACTGAATTACATACACAAAGAGAGAGATAAAGATTGTGTCTTCAGTTCAGTAATTCAGTTAGGCACTGATAACATACAGAAACAGAGATGGAGAAAGAAAGAAAGAAACCTAAAATTGGAAGAGAACAAAACTTCCTTTGGTATTGCTTTTGTAGCGCATGTTAGGTACTATGGAAACAAAACTAAAAAGAATGATGGTTCATCTTTCAGTCTATGTTTTGAGATGCATTTGTCAAGTCCCAGCCTCTGATTTGGAATGTATAACCTAGAGAGGAATACTTTGGATGACTGGGTTGCTGTGAGTTTTCCAGGCTGTATGGCCATGTTCCAGAAGCATTCTCTCCTGACGTTTCACCCACATCTATGGTAGAGGTCTCACAACCTCTGAGGATGCTTGCCATAGATGCAGGTGAAACATCAGGAGAGAATGCTGCTGGAAAATGGCCATACAGCTGGGAAAACTCACAGCAACCCAATGATTCTGGTCATGAAAGCCTTCAACAACGCTTTGGATGACTGTTTTTGGTTTTTAGTTTTGCCTCTGATGTTGTGGTCCTATCTCCATGCCCAGTGTAGTACAGTCAGCCCTTTGTGCCCATGGTTTCAACTACACAGTTTGAAAATATATTCTTTTAATTCCAAAAGCCAAATATTAATGTTTCCATTTTATATATGGATACCACCTTACTGTTCCAGTGTAAATAATGTGACTTGAGCATCAATGGATTTTGGTATCCAGGGTGGGTCCTAGAATCAAACTCTAATGGATCTCAAAGGCCCACTATGTTATATTTACAAGAGCTGTTTCAAAAACTGTTCTTGTTCCCCAAATCAAAGTCTTCTCCAACAGGACTTAGTTAATTAAAAAATAATCTGGCCATGCTAGCTAAGAGATACATAGTCGTGGAATTGGAAGAGACCAAGGCTGTATGGCCATGTTCCAGAAGCATTCTCTCCTGACGTTTCACCCACATCTATGGTAGAGGTCTCACAACCTCTGAGGATGCCTGCTATAGAGGCAGGTGAAACATCACGAGAGAAGGCTGCTGAAACAAGGTCATATAGCTGGGAAAACTCACAGCAATCCAGTGATTCTGGCCATGAAAGCCTTCAACAAAGCTTTGGATGGCCATCCAGTCCAACCCACAAAAGCCAAAACTGCAAATGTGGAGGGGCAGCTTCAAAGCGCTCGCCAATATTTTCCAACCTGGCCCTCCACAAACAAGTTAGTTTACAGCTTGCGCTAACCATTGCCTACGTTGACTGGGAATTAGGGAAGATGTAGTGGGTTGCTGTGAGTTTTTGGTGCTGTATGGCCATGTTCCAGAAACAATCTCTCCAATTTCACCCACATCTATGGCAGGCATCCTCAGAGGTTGAGGGGGTCTTCTGAGGATGCCTGCCATAAATGTGGGTGAAACGTCAGGAGAGAATGCTTCTGGAACATGGCCATACAGCCTGGAAAACACATCAACCCAGTGATTCTGGCCATGAAAACCTTCGACAACATGGGGAAGATGTAGTCCAACATATCTGAAAGGCAGATTGAAGGAGACTGAGATATGTTAGAATCACCTATACAAAAATAATAGCATATTTTTAAAATTAAGCTAATTTGATTCCCATAATTTATCCGCAGCAAACCCTAATGCTCCTGCCTTGGGAACGCTTCATCCCTAAATATAATTATTACAGTAATTTTGTGTACTCAGAGTGTACAGTAATAATACTGGAATGAGATCATTGTAAGAGGAAGTCCAGCAAGATAGTCCCCCCACCCGCACAGTAGTATGTATTATGTAAAAAGCTGGGCGTGACCAAGTATCTGATCTAACCCTCTAACAGAAAGTGAAGAACTGTTTGGCTATGAAAATATCAAGCCTCTTCATTTTTCAAGAAGCTCAGTTATGTGACTTATTCTGTGTATTTTCAGAAAGCTATAAATATATTGTTAGTTTTGGAATAAATTTAGAAATGTAGTTGCCAGTTAGCTACAAGACTTGAGATAGGGAGGAAGCAGGGAGAAGGAAAGAGCCAGAACATCACATCTAAGTGAACAGACTCACTAGATGTATTCTTTCCCCCATCTGATTGGATAGCTGGGCTCCCTCATTGTATTTGTTTTATTTTTTAAAAGCAACTTTGCTTAACACGTTTTTAAAATCCTCATCGTTTTATTAATTACAGCACATTTGGAAAAGTGGGAAGCAGATTTTCATACTAGTTAATCAAGCTGCCATTTAATGTACCTTCCTGCCTTTTGCGTGTGGAATAGTGGCATTCGTTAGCAGGTGGAATGAATATTAATTGGGCAAAGCAAAGAGATGCAGAGGAGAAACTCAACCCCTGGTGAATCTAGTAAAATATATTCTTAGATGAAGTCATTACAGTTAGAATTAAAAAGAATCCCAGAATTATGGGCATTTGACTTTAAAAGGGGTAACATGGTTAAAGGTGTATAAAACCTCCGAGAATTATGGTATTATGGACCATGGAAACCAAGGCTGTCCCAGGACAGATTAAGTGTTCGCCACTCTACACAGAGAAGGGGAGCGTACTCATATTGACCTGTGGATAAATCAACCCACAGGTCAATGTGAGTATAAGGTTGACTTTTTGGCTACAATTTCTAGGAGTAATACGGTACTCCTGCTACAACTTCTAATTGGGTCAGATTATGGATGGGGAGGTGGCTTGAAATGGGCACTGTGATATACAGTCCATTGAAAGGGATGCCATGCAAAGAAGT